TTGCGACAGCTTAATGGGGAAACAATCTTCAAATGCCAGTGAACAGTGTTTGATAAATGATGCCTAGAGAGGGGAAAAGAAACAGCCACAGAAAGGACACAAAATAAGAAATATTTTAAAATAGAGAAATTCACTAATTCCATATAATAAACTTTATTGCCACAAAGAGACACAACAAATTCTCCTAAATTTATTAACTTGTTTTCCATAAATATTTAATTATTTAGAAATGTACCAAAAGTACAGATTCCCTTGACCTAGTTATCAAGCTTATATAAGAGTGAGAATTATTGTATCCATAAACATGAATTTAATTACATTCATTATTCTTTCTTTCCTCTCCAATAAGATGATCGTAAAGAAACCTTTGATTGTTGAAGCCAAGCATTTAATTTTCTTCTGATTAGTCAAGTAACTGTCTTAAACTTAAAATAAAACCTTATAATAACAATATTTAAGAGGGAAAGTATAATATTACTTCCTATTGAAGACCCATTATTTACGTGGAATCACAGAAGAAAAGAAAGAACTGGGGACACCAGCCTTCAGTTCCTGAACTGGCCTGAGAGAGGGCCCACCCTCAAAGTGACTCTGTCCTCTCCCATATCCAAAGTCTACAGCTGATATATGACACAGTACATTTCTGTCTTGGAATCAGCACTCAAATACTTGAGGAATGAAGTAACAGAGTCCAGAGTCTGGGTTTCACCAGAGACCTGATGACTTATCGGTAAGAGTCTGCCAATAATTGGTGGCATGACTTGTCTAAGCAGAGCTCCATCACAATGTCCACAAAAGCTTATCCTGGAGACTCAGCAACAATGAAAGCAGGAGACTACCTGTGCAGTAATACACATGCAACAATGCTCCCATCACAGTGTAGACAATGAAAGTCAGAGGAGCATAACTGGGAATAGTCACTTGTGCCTACAACTGAGTAGGTTTCACAAAGAAGGGAAATTTGAGTTGGGAAGCCATTCTCAAGTCACCCAGGGAGAAGTCATGGTTTTCTGCCTCCATGGCCCCCACAGTGGCCACCTCCCCACCATCACTCCCACCATGCTGTTTTATAATCAGTGACTGTGTGCCTGTCTCCCTGAATAGTATATGAGCATCTCAAGGGTAGGACTTTGGGCATTCATTCTCCATGGCTCACCCTCAACTGCTAAGTAAATATCTGCTGATGAAGAATAAGAGTCAACTTTAGATTATTATTATTATAATAACATACCAGCTACCCTTCTTGAGCACCTACTACCACCTGCTTATTGCTGAAAGTACTTATCTGTACGGTCTCATTTCCTCTACACACACACACAAAAAAAAAAAAAGTCAGGTCCTATTATCATTATCCATTTTACAGATAAGGAGACTAAAACACAGAGAAATTAAGTAAATTGTCTCAAGTAATACAGTAAGTGACAGAGCTGAACTATGAATCATATGTGAATGAAGTCAGTTTTCAATTACTAGTGAACAAAGTCTTTACTTTCTCTGTCCTCTGCCTTGAATATAAAAAGGTGGATTACCTTTTGGTCTATTGTTCACTGGGCCCAAAGCCATTTCTTTCCTAGAGAAGAACAAAGGCAGTCTCTTGTTATTCTTCTAAACAATGACTGCTAACCAATACTTAGTAAACACCATTGAGGCGGGAGGTAGAATGGAGATCAAAATTGGGCTTTCAATATCAGTCAAAAACATTTATTTAGGAGGAAGTCTACTTACCAATTGAAACATTTTTTCCAATGTTGGAATAATTTCAAAAATAGATCAAGTTAATAGATGAAACAGCAAGAGTGTGTACAGAATGTTATAAGAGGAAAAGTATATAATAAATTTAAAAAATAGTAACAGTGCTTGCCTCTAGGGAGAACTAGGAACTAGAACCTTAAGGCAAGAAATTCTACATTTGTTCCTTCTTTGAACTACTTGCCTTTAAAAATAAAAAACATAATTTATAGAAGCCACTTATTGTGAGGCCTTTCCCAAATACTCACATACATATTATTATAACCATAAAAAATTATGCATGTTTATGAACATAAATTGGATAAACTTAATTTGGGGTGAAATAAGACTGTTGAACAATTTTTGTCTTTCATGTTGAGGTTCACTAATTTCACAAATATTGCAGTATTTTTTCTGTGCCAGGCAGTGCTAGATAGATATTTTTTAAAGAACTAAAAAACAGGTCATTAGTTTCCTCCCTCCTGTCTTTCAAGAAAACATGAGAGCATACTAATCAGAATGCCAGAGCTAAGACTACCTTTTTAAAAATATATTTTTATTGATTTCAGAGAGGAAGGGAGGAGAGATAGAAACATCAATGATGACAGAGAATCATTAATCAGCTGCCACCTGCATGCCCTCTACTGGGGATTAAGCCCAAAACCTGGGCATGTCCCCTGACAGGAAATTGAACTATGACCTGGTTCATAGGTCAAAGCTCAACCATTGAGCAACACAGGCTGGGCACTAGGACCACCCTTGATGCTCACATAGCCCAACATTCTCACTCAACTAAGAAAATGGAGGCCTGGAGAGGGGATAGGATTGGACCAGAGTTACATAAGAACTGAAAGCCTCAGAATCACTACCAGTGAGTGCTTTCTTTCTATGCCACATACTGTCCTGTTGTGTTGAAAGATGGGCAGGCAGGGAGGGGCAGAAATGGACCCTAGCATATACTGAGTGCCTATTAGTCAGGTGCTTTCACATATCTTATCTCATTTGCTCTTCATAATGAGCTCTCAAAGTAGGCATAATTATCCTCATTTTACAAATAAGGAAACCAAAGCTCTGAGAAGCTAAGAAACTGGTGCATAAGGCTTCAGATGCAGGACTGTCTGACTTCCAAACCAGAGGTCGTACCCTCCATACTGCAAAAGAAAATCAATTTTAAAAGGGAGACTGGGCTATGTCGCAGAGAACCTCGAAGGCAATAGTTCCCATTGATGAAATTTGTCTCTCAGCCCTGGATATTATCACTGCAATAACCACCATCAAAAAGCCTATCCCCTCATCCAACACAGGTTCTAGCCCTTATGTGCCACCAACTTGGGATTTTCCTAGTAATCCCCAGAGCAGGATGGTTATCCGGAGGGCACCAATCTCTGACAGCCATTTACAGTTTCTGCCGGGAGAGAACAGAACCACTCACACATGCTGCTGCTAGACCGACAGGTACCTGCCGCATGAGCACAGGCCAGTGTAAGGACCCAACCATGAGACGCCCTCCCCACGATGCCGCTAGGTCACCAGCACAAAACTGGTGGTGGTAAGAGAAGCCAGCACCAGGGTGGTTGGTCCCCAAAAGTCCCCTATGTTCTGGAGTGAAGACAAATGCAGACCAATACAGGAGAAGCCTCCTCCTGCCTTCTCTGCTGGCCATGCAACACAGGTGGGAGGAATGGCAGTTCGGATTGGTCTAACTGCCAGGGGTAAAGGCACTGTACAATGAAAGGTCATACTCGGGACACCCTTCTGCCTAGGAGGGAGCCCCACCATCTTGCTTTCTTCTCTCTGCTCCTGTAAGAATCTATTATAATTACCCTTTCAGTGTGGTACAATTAGAGTTTGTACTTGAATCAGCAGGGAGATTCCATAAAGCTCCAGCCTAAGCTTCATGCTCCAGTTCAGAGTCCTCACTGGAGCTGGGGACTAAAGGTCAGCAAACAATGAAATTTTCCTCCTCCCATTGAACCTTGCCATGGCTCCCTCGGAGCCTGACAGCGTTGAGCACTCATCTTTTGGGGATTTCCTACCACAAACCTGATCCCAAACTCAAACAAGAACCTGGTCTAGAAATCTCCTCCTCTTCAGACCCCCAGTTCCCGAATCCAACCTGCCCATCAACACAGTCAAGGGAGGCTCATGACTTTACAAGGAGGTGCTCGCTCTGTAAGCACAGCTCCATCCTACCTTCACAAGGCCCCTAGGAGGCACACAGGGCAGGTGCATGATGCTCGTTTTGCGAAAGAGAAAAAGACTCTCCAAGATGATACAGAGGAAAAAGCCTCTGAACTCTCATTCCTGTTCTGCCCCCTAACCAGGCGGCCATACCGGGTTTATGGAGACCACCGCTGTTAAGATTTCCAGCAGCTTCTGAGGTCAGGAGCCGCCAGCAAGCCAGGAGGACTCTTCAAGCTTCACACTAACTCGTCTTCAAGCACACACGTTTCTTAACAGCTGCTCATCGAATGCAAGCCAAGCACCCCCCAACCTAGGCATGGCCCCTGCAACAGCAACTGGAGAAGTCCCCGAGGTGTGAAAAATGGGTAAGTCCTACTTACGGGATGGCGTGGCACACGGGGGAGGGGGGAAGTGCCAGCCTAGCAACCAGGACAGCTGAGACCCAAGTTCGTCTCAGGAAAAGCACAGGGAGGCCTGGCAGGCCATTCTGGCCCAGAGGCAACCCTCGAAGCCTCCAGGACCCTCAGAAAGCCCAAAACTCCTGCTTCCACCCAAACCCTGCTGGACGGCGGCAGCGAAGGCAGCGCTCCCTTCTCCGGGACCACTCACCTCCGCTCGCCGCTCGCCGCTCCCCGCTCCCCGGCTTCCGGACGGGAGCACCAGGGTCCCGCCCCGCCCCGCCCCCTGCACCTGTGGTTCCCTCGGGCACCAGCTCTCCGGCCGCTCCGGCCTCCCCGCAGCCACCTCCCACCGGCACCCCGTGACCCCACCGGCCCCTCCGCCCCCCGCCCGCCCTGCAGCCCCTCAGCCCCCCGAACTGCCTCCGCGCCCAAAGGCGGGCCTTTCCCCATCGCCATCCCGGCGCCCGCCGCCCTTCAGACCGAGCCCTGACAGGACCGGCGCGCCGAAGGCCCCCGACCCCGGCCTTGCGCCCCTAAGCCCGCCCGACAGAACCCCCACCCCCGGGCCCGCCTCCCGCGCCCAGGCCCCTCCCGGCCCAGCGGCCCCTCCCGGCCCCGCCTCCCGCACCTGCAGCTCCTCCAGCCCGGCCCTCAGGGCCCCGCCCCGCCGCGGGCCGCTCTCCTCACCGCCCGCTCTCGCCGCCGCTGCCGCCGCCGCCGCAGTCACGGCCGGTCACCTTGACGCGGGCCGCAGTGGCTGCCGCCGCCTCCTCATGGCCCTGGGAGCGGCCCAGGCGGCAGCGGCGCCTTCGCTCGGAGGCCGGGGACGGGCCGGGCCGGGGCCGGGCCGGGCGCAGCTGGAGCGCAGGCCGACGCGGGAGCGGAGCGGGTGCCCAGCCGCAGTAGAAACCGTCCGCTCCTAGACCTGAGCGGCGGGCCGCCCAGCCAATCGGTGGACAGCTCTCGACCAGCTCCCCCAATCAGCTGGCCGCAGAGGCGGAGACACGCAAATCGGCCGGCTTGGGCTCGCCAGTGCGCAGCCGCTGCGGCCGTGGTCCTCTCTGGACTCGGCCTCTGCTCGGGTCGGTGGACACTCGTCAGCCCCTCTGCTACCCGCACGCCCGCTCAGCCCCGCCACGCCCTTCCCCTTCGTAGAAATAGCACCTCGCACGTCGCTCTCCAGACATCATTCCAAGCCTCAAGCAAATCCCCCTAAAATCCCTACCTGGGATTTACCGTTTGCAACAACAACAAAAAAAATGGTTTTGTGAGAGACACCTCAATGCCCATTCTTTACAACTCGGAGGCAGGCACAGAACCCGGAACGTCAGAGCCATAAGAAACCTCCAAGAGCCTCCAGTCCAACCCACTTATTTTACAGCTGGGCAAGATAAGGCCCCATGAGGCAAAGAGCTTGCCCCAGACCACACGGTGCAGAAGCGGGGAATGAGCCTGCCTCTTGTCTCCCTGCTCCCAAATCCTTTACTCAGGGCCAGGTGCCATGAGGTGAACAGAGAGGTGTAGTCACTTGTTTAAAGTCGCAGAGATAATAAGTTGCAAACAGGTCAATGAAGTTTTGGAAATCCGAAAACACACACACACACCTCTTTTCTGCCTCTAGGTCCGGCCTTCCCCTGAATGATCCTTGGACCCATCGACAAGTAGAAAACCCTTTAAACAACTTTTAAATTTATTTTACAATAACATCAGAGTATGGAAAGATTTTAGTTACTATGCTTCCGAAAGCTGATGGAAAGAAAAAAAAGAAACAAACAAGGAATAAAATCAGTAGAAATGAAGCCATTTCTAAGTCTTCAGAGATCTCTGAGGAAATTTTCTGCCATTTCACATTAACAAATGAATAATCATCAGAAAAGATAATTAAGTTTCGCCCACTGTTAAAGCGTGTTGTGCTGGAGGAGTGGGCAGCTCTCAGCACCTCCTGAGTCCCTCTCAATGAGAAGAAGGACCTTTTGGACCACAGGTGGAGAGAAAAATTGGAGAAATCGCCAAGGGGGATCCTCCAGGCCAGCTGCCTCCACTCAGATTTGTACAATACTTCCTGGAGGACAGCCCCGCTTTGGGGCCGTTCAAGGAGCTATTTTCATTACCGGTGCTGATTACCAAGGCCTCCATAGCCCCTGCCTTGCAATGTCCATGGCCTTGTGTGACCCCCTTCACTGAGTGTGGAAGGATTTAGGATGTATGTGATTATGTTATATAAGATTATAATCCATCTTGCCATTAGACTCTCCTTTGCTGGCTTTGAAGATGTAAGTTGCCATGTAGTGAGTGAGCTGTTCTCTGGAGAAGATCACTCAGTAAGGAGTCTCTGGCCAACAGCCAGCAAGAGGTCGGGCCCTCCGTGCAGCCGCCTGCAGGAACTGAATGATGCCAGCAATCATCTGAGCTCAGACACAGATCCTTGCCATCTAGCCTCAGATGAGTCTGCATCCCTGGCCAGCACCTGGAGATGCTTGTGAGATCCTGAGGCAGAGGGCCCAGTTACTCGGTGCCAGACTCTTGACACACAGAAACGGAGGTTATAAATGCATGTTGTTTTAAGCTGCTAAGCCTATGATAAAAATGTTACATCGCCACAGATGACTAATACAGAGGCACAACCCACCCTATCCTGGTGCCCAAGAGACAGCTTCTGGGCAGAGGCCAACAAGCCCCAGGTGCAACAAGGATTCTAGAATGTAGTGCTCCTCCAGACCCCGGCGTCAGGAGGCAGAGGAGAGGGTATACAAAAGAACACCGTCACTGGGACACAGTAACAGTGGCAATAGTGAGGTGGCCCCACGGTGAACCATCAGCATGGGCAGCTGGGGGAGACTGGGAGCAGGCGTTGAGAGTGAAATTTTCAATGTGGTCAGTTTCTGGAAATAATGCTGGCTTTGTCACTTCCCAGCCAGGTGGCCTTACACTGGGTCCAAACCTCTCTAAACCTGTCTTCTCGGTTAAAAGGATGTTATCATCAGAATGCCTACCATGTAAGGTTCTCCTGAGAAAGTGAGTTAGCCCTCGAGTGGCCGTGAGAATGCACCTTGCAAACCTCCAACTATGGGGAGCTCACTTGACCAAGGGCCCAGCTGCTGATCTCTGAAACCAGTAACACATTTGCACTGAGGCAACTCTACACATGGGCTGCACCCAATGCCAGACATGGCAGGGACTCTAAGGTGGACAGGTCCCTGGGTGATAATGGGACTCCTCTGATGATTTCCATACACTCCCTTTCCTCTCTTCTTCACTTAGAGTCAGGTTTGCATCCCAGTCTGGCGGCTCTCTCAACCCTCTTCAGCCCCCTGACCATTTATTTTCCTATGTTAAATTCTGTGTGGCATTTGCTTCCCCCTCCTATGGTCTCCCGTGTATCATCACAGAGGCTGGACACTTAGGAGAACTCCATTTCCCAGCATTCCTTGCTACAAAGGTTACTTTTCAGTGCATCCACTCTTGTTACTTGCAGTAGTTATGCCCTATCAAATCATTGTGAACACTAATTAAATCATTGTTCCTAGGGTACATACAGGGTTACTAGGTTCCTGTGAGGCTCTGCACAACATGGTTGGGAATCAATCAAAACATAGCCTTCTTTTATGTGTGCTTCTGTTTAAAAACACCTTAATATATATTGTTGATTCCTTAACATTGAACTCATGACCAACAACTCTCTAACCAAGTTTATCTAACATATGCGTTTTCTCTGGAAGGCATCTCACAGCCTTCCTTTGCTTGGGAACACCAGACAGCACTTCAGCACTGTGCCTGGGGGTCATTTTAAACAGAGAAATCACCAACAAAACAAAAAAACAACAACTCAAAAATGCAGAAAAAGTGGCATTAAATAGGTTGCTAAAAGGACACTTGTTTACAGTATGAGAGTTTGTTTGACCTCTGCTGGGAATGTGATGCATCAGCACCTGATACTTCGTGAGGAAAATATTTCCGCAAGTAAAGTTGTGGAGAGCAAAGGGCTGGGTCTAGCTTCAGGGTGAAACACTCTCACACAGGGCCTGCAGCCATATCTGACTGCAGTTGGACATGGGGCCATACAACACAGCTTGGGGCAGGAGGTTCCTGGAGGCCCATTCTGGGGATCGGAGGGAAAGAAGGCAATGAATAGTTTCGTTATGGAACACCTAACAACATTCCCATGTCATCAGAAGCTCAGCCAGAGTCCAGCAGGCAAGAAGGGATGAGTGAGGCCAGAGTGTGGGGAGGCAGTTGTGTTGAAAGAACAGAGGAAGTGAGAGGAAGCCAGCAAATGGCCCCTCTGCAAATAAGATACACACGACAAGAACCTCTTTGCCCAGCTGAGAGCGCCAGTGCCAGTGCTGGGGGGCCAGGAAAGCCTGAGTGCCCTGGAGAGGAGAATGGGCCACCCAGGGAGAGGATGCTCAAGGAGAGATCTGTGTGAGGCCTCAGGAAATTCAGATGCCAGGGTCCATTCTCAGAGCCCAGAGCTCCCACATTCAAGGTCCCTTTCGAGACTCACTAATATTTGGCCATGTAAGTGGAGAAAGGGAAGGAGCTGAAGGGTTAAAACAAATAACAGAAAACCTGAAAACAGCTCCAGGGAGCCGGGTGTGCGATGACTAGAACTTCTGGCAGAGACAGGCTACTCAAAATAACAGTCTTACAAAAGTCATCTGTTTGCCAAAGAAGTGTTCTTCCAAGTTATGGATTCCACCACCTCAATTCCAACAGAATTCTGTCGGATACATGTCTCATGTTTCTGAAAACCCCGGAGTGGAGGGAGGTGAGCAGACAGATGTCCTCCTGGTCAGCGGGTGGGAGTCACATTAAGTGACCAAGAGCTTGGCTCTAATCAGTCTGGCTGGTCCTCTAGGGACCATCCAAGCTCCATGTCCTCCTGGTCAGCCGAGTCACAGAGTCACATTAAGTCTAGAAAAGCCCCAAGAGAGGGCGAGCCAGACCGCTGTCTTTGCCTATTTGCAGTGTGCTGGGGTCCTATGGACAAGAACCAAGAACCAAGAGCCTAATTCCAGGCAGGTGGCTTTTGTGGTCAGGAGGAGGGACTTTCTAGCATGGACAGCTGTCAGCTATGCAGTCCTTGGGAGGCAGCCAGCTTCCCCGGCAGGTAGGAACTGGAGAGTACTTCCATAGACGACTGCAGAGTCCCAGCATTGGGGGTCAGGGAGTAGACAGCCTGGGTGGTCCCTTCTCACTCTTACAAGAGTGAAAGGGTCTTTCCCCTCCATGTTAAGCACTCTGGGAAAGGGGGAACAATTCAGAATGACTTCTCCGATTTGCACATTTTATTTTATTAAATATATTTCTTTATTGATTTCAGAGAGGAAGAGAGAGGGATAGAAACATCAGTGATGAGAATCATTGATTGGCTGTCTCCTGCATGCCACCTACTGGAGATAGAGCCTGCAGCCCAGGCACGCGCCCTGGGTCTGGGACCTCCCAGTCCACATGCTGATGCTCTATCCACTGAGCCAAACCAGCTAGGGCCAATTTGCACATTTTCAAGCACTCACACACATTCACATGGCACCTGAAGGTGGTACAAATTTGCAATCCGTTCAGGGGCTTGGGCCACTCGCGGCCACTAGTGGGGCCCAGTGAGTACGACAGGGACAGATCTTGTGTGGGGACACAAAGAAGAATGTTCAAGGGCTGATCAGAGTGCCAAGACTGAGGCTAAAAGGGATGAAGAAATGTTTTGAGTGCCAGGACCTCACTGTCTTCCCAGCAAAGCTTAGGGTGGGCTTGTCTACATAGCTGGAGGAGACAGCACAACCACCAGCAACACTGAGCTGGCTGCCTCTAAAGGAATGTCGCTCTCCCTAGAGGACCAGCCAGACTGATTAGAGCCAAGCTCCATTAGGGCAGAGGTAGGAGCAAAAGAAGTCCTAGTAAACAAGCCCTTTCGAAGATGAGGGCAGGGACCTAACTGCTGTCTGAGTTGGAGAGGAAAGAGAGGCAGTTCTGGTCCTGCTGTCCAGGCAGGGTACTCAGGGGTGAATGCATTATACCTCTAGCCCAGCTTAGCACAGTAATGACCCAGAGGGCTCCAGGGCACTCCCGTAGGTTGTAATGTCGCACACATTTGCTTCCTTGGAGGTGGCCTCTTTTTGCCACTTGTGTTCTGAGAAAAATGAGCCCTATTTGCTGACAAAAGGTTTGCAAGTTAGTCCTGTTGTGGAAAACATCATGTGAGATGTTTAAGTCATTGAAATGGTCCAGGAAACAGAGAGGAAGCCCAGCAAGCAATAAGGGATTGGTGGTGGTGCTTTAACATTATAAAAGATATCATCAACATCCCCAAAGCCAGTGGGCTGGGACAGTTGTATGTGTTGTAATTGGAAGAAACAAAAATGAAGGCAGACCATGACTTCAGGACAAATGCAGAGCCAGCTACTGCCAAGGGTCTTCGCCAGCAATACATGTGCTACCTGCACATCAGCTCTGACTCAGTGTGTCTGCTTCTGGTGGCTGGACACCAAACCTCCAGACTGGCAAGTCAATGCACTTTCTCCATCATGCCCTTGAGTATGTCAGAGTCCCCAGGCCCCCTCACTGCCAACTTGCCCATAAAGAAGGCCTAGTGAGATGGAAGAGATCTGGGTTTACACCAAGGAGCAAGCTGACTCTAGCAGCATAGAAGCCAGGTTTGATCCCCACCCAATTCCCAGCCAACAGTCCTGCTCAACCCTCTCAGAACACATGCGTTTGCTCATTCATTCAGTTCTTAATGTGTACCTGCTGTGGTGACAGATCCTGTGCTAAGGATAGTCAGGTGAGGGAAACAGTTCAGGAACCCTTTTGTCATGGAACTTACAGGCTAGGAGAAACATCCCATCTAATAAGAGGCTAATATGCAAATGGACCATACGGCAGAACAATCAATTGCTATGACACACATTGACCACCAGGGAACAGATGCTAAACACAGAAGCTGCCCCCTGATGGTCAGTGCATTCCCACCTCCTCAGCAGTGCTAAGGATGTCCAACTGATGGCTTAGGCCCACTCGCCAGAGAGCAGGCCTACACCGGCAGTCAGACAACCCCCGACTGTGAGGGGGTGCAGGCCAGGCTGAGGAACCCCTCCTCTGCCCAAGTGCACGATTTTTGTGCACCGGGACTCGTTAATTGAATAATCTCACCAATCAATAAACAATTACCAATTGAAATAAGTGTTCTGAAGGTCAGGGACCCAGCTCAACAAAAGTCTGTTAAAGGGGGCCTGACCTAGAATAGCTGCTGTGGGTAGGGCACCCTGGCTGAGCTGAGAACTGAAGAGGAGGAGTTACGGGCTGAGAGAGAAGTTGGAGACAGCACATGCAGTTCCAAGCCATCTTGGCAGGAGAACAAGACACATTCACAGGAGCTAAAGGGTACTTGCACAGGCCAGTGGGGAGATGATTCACAGGGATTTGGCCTGGGAAAGCCTGAGGACACACCGGGCCCCTGAAAACCCAGTCTTCGCCACACAAGAGAAAGGCCAGAAACAGACCAGCTTCGTTCTCCTCTTCCCAGCACCGCAGTGGCACAAGAGCAGTTATGAAATCCTAACCTTTCGAAAACGGTGGTTACAGAAACGACCACATTGCGGATGTTTGTTAGTGAAACTCAGAGGCCCAGAGGGGCAAACACAGAGGGAGACCACGGCACATTTGCTCTAGCAGCATTTTTATTTACAAACAGCAATTTCCATGGACTTTATTTATACCATAAAAAAGCCATTTACAAGCAAGAAACAAGAATTCAGAACAAAATTAAGCAGCACTGAAATATTCATATCACAAATCTGAAACAAAGTGAATACAAGAGTAAAATATCATTTGAATAAATAAGTCTTAAATTCATGCTATAAAATAATCCTTAATGGCAAGTTACTTAGTTGATACAGCATCCGCTTAGCTAGCTTCATTTACTTCATGTGGTGATGAAGTGTGGAGTTGTGAGGTTACCAGTTTATATTGCAAGATAATGACACTGTTAAGTCATTCAAATTGCTCAACCATTTATAACGGAAAAAAGTTAGCCCTACTAATAAAAGTGGTGAGAGAGATGGTTTTCACATTAGGAAAATGGTCATTCTCAAAGAAGCTAGGTAAGTGACCTTTACTACAGTCAGGGCAGCAACCAAAGGCTTGGGCAGCAAGGCCAATGGTTGAATTCACAGCATACTTGTCACTGAGGGGCAGCAAAAGGTCATTTACCGAATCTGCTGCAAGGCTCACTCCAGGACTTGGTCAAGAACTACAACAGCCCTGACTGTGCAGACCCAGAGAACACAGGTTCTCTTCCGGGCCAAGAGGTCAAGCACTGGGCAGAAACAGTGGAAACACTCTGGCACTTACTGAGAAAGACGTGCGTGGCGTGTGACAACCATTACAAATCTGGAGCAATGTGAATGACTTCTCTGAACTTTCAGTTCAGTTGCACTGAGTAATATGAAATCTATGATTTGTGAACTAGATAGTTTCATATAAAGAATTTACATAGTTCCCCAATACTTTCATATATAAAATTTAATAAATAACCCTGACCAGTCTAGAAGCACCATTCAAGGGGCGTGTGCCCTTGGAAAATAGTTTAGGTGTTGCATATTTGAGTCCCTTTCAGTGGAGGCTTCACAGGAAACCATTACAGAATTTAACAATAACGAGGAGGACAACAAAATCACAGTAACTAACAGAAAAGGTTGTTAAAATAAAATACACTGATTTCTTTAAAGTAAAGCTCATTCACATAGATGACTTCCCCCCAAGCCCTTGTTTTGTGTTCCTGTAAATTCTTCCTAGAGCTGAGGCTGTAAAAACAAAAGCAAAAAAACAAAACCACAGGCAAAAATATGCAGGCCTACGGCCTGGGCGAAGGGGAAACAAAGACTTGGTTATAACCACTATTGTTAGAAAAGACATCTACTCATGCTCTGGAAGATTAGAAATGATCAATTTAGTTCTACAGTATATTCTGCTTAACAGTGAACCGACAGTATCCTTTCTCTGCTGTTTAAAAACAAACAAACAAACAAAACACACACACACATATATAAAAAAAAAACTAAAAAAAAAAAAAACCTGCCAAGGCAGGGTCAACTGGGAGGTTTTTCCCACTGACCAAAAAATTAACTTGTCTTCATATACTCTATTTACAAATATAATTTCTAAATGTATTTACAGCTTTAGTAGAAATTAGAGGGTAGAGAACTGATGAGAAGGAAAATAACTGTCTAGAACCACAAATAGTACAGTAAAAAAGTCTTTGTTTCACAGTTTGTAATAACAGGTAGGACCCTACAGGAAAGGACGCTGTCACTGTCTTCACATTGCCTGTGTATGGAAAAGGTAGCTCAAGAAGAGACTCAATTATGAACAGACCTAGAGGAACTCAGGATATATTTCACTGTAAAAGATTTCTTCACATATCACTTTTATCTTAATGGATTTCTGCATTGGTTATAAATGAGACATCTAATCTAAAACTGTACAGAAATAGGGACTTTGCTTTCCAAAAGGAGTTACACAGCGTACTTCGTCTGCGGAGACGTGAGGTGAACTTCGGGGAGAGAATGTTTCTGCTCTGTGGTCCCGTTAATCCTCCTGGCACATCCTCGTGTGACAAGGCACAAGTATTGCTGCTGCCCGGTCTGAATGGAGTCATCTTTCCCCCACCACGCACACCGAGAGGCACGCAGTGCGCACGCTCAGTGCTGGCCTCCGCGCTGCCTCCCTCGGAGCCCTGTGGAACCTTACAGTACTGTGTTATGGCTTGAGAATTCTTAACACTGCTAGCAGTGGAAAGGGTAAAGTGTTAGCAACATGAATGGGAGCAAGTGGAACTTGCAGAATGTGGAATTATGATTATTCGAGGGAAACTCAATCAATTTTCTGCCCCTTAACAGTCCCATTACAATGTTTGAACCTGAACTGTACAATCAAAGCAATGTATATTTTTTTGTCAAAGACAATTTTGGATAAGTCACTCTTTGGTAAACTCAAACCAGATAAACAGATTGACAAATACAAAGAACTCCATGTAAATAACATTAAGACGGACACGGTGACAAGAACTAGGACATCGGAGGTGCCTGCCCACGTGTCTTCCCCTCTGCCTTGTCCTGTCTGGTCGATCACAAAACGCTCTGGGGACCTCTCAGGAGGCCCCGAGCCTGAGTGAAAGGAGAAGCCTTCACCGAGCCTCACCTCTCATGTCCTCGATTTGGGAATTTCTTGCCACCAACATAATTTTTTATCACAAAACAATTTTTTTGCATTTCATTCTTAAAAAAAAAAAAAAAATTAAAGCCAAACTGATTCACGTAAGGAAACATAAATCACAAACATTTACCTGAAACCCCAGGACACAGGTAAGTGGGTAAACACTGGGGTCCGGCCTCCCCCTGGGGCTCGCGGCTTTGACGGGGTTGAGCAAGTGCTGCAGGGAGACAGGCCCCTTACTTAGGCAGTTCGACAGGAAAAAGGCAAACGATACCCGATTTAGCAAGCGCTGCTCCCGGAGCAGGACTGAGTGGAACTGTACGTAGTAACACTGATGTGGAGTGCAGCAGCCCCCGTGTGAACAGAGCCTGTGTGCTAAGGAGCTGCCGCTGCACGGCCACCGCCCCTGGGACTGTTGCACACAGGGGCCTGAATGACTCATTTTTTTTCTCAAAATAACCCCCCACAAAACAAAAAAATAACCGCCACCATTCTTGGTATTTTAAGAGTCAAAAAAGCATGGAAAACCAGCAAACATCTATTTTTGTTTGCCTTTAACACTTAGCCTCTGAGGTTGCCTTTCGCTTGTTTTCTCTCGGGTGGTTTGTGCTGTTCTCCTTTGGAGATGCCCTTGTGAGTTTCAGAGCCAAGGTTCTCAGCAGAGAGTGTCGAGTGCTGACCTCCCACTCACAACCAGCAGCACCAACCCACCACCAAACTGTTCACCAAATTACTGCCAGAGGTTACAGTACCAGAGCAATCCTGTAAAGCCTATGGGTGGACAAAATATAGAACTGAAGACAGTTCCTAAAGCACTAATAAAATATTATTCAATAGGACTCAGGTATTTTTTTATACAGTAATGTGTTTGCCAGCACGTTTTTGAGGTCTCTTTTCAAGCTAGAAACTCAAGAGAGGGAAAAAACTGTAATTCACTATTCCCCTTAGATTTCACATTTTTTACAACTATACTGACCTAAAAGATATATAACATAAAGATAGCACCACGTGACCAAAAGAATAAATGGTGACACACACAGATTTGGTGACACACAGAGGATCTCAGAGGGCTTGTTAAGTGTTGGTTTCTTTAAGCAGGAAACACTGAGAGTGGGGGAGCCACGGAGGCTCTCGTTAGCACACACAATACTAAGATAGATATATTGCTTGCAATTCCCATAGAGTATATCTTTACAAAAGTACAAATTCCAAGTTGTGCAGTTTCCCTGGGAACTGCATGTAGAAAAAGTTGCTGTGCACCTGAACTGGCTGTTTGAAAAGAGAAAGGAAAAACAACAACCCTACAACACTGCTTGGAGAATACTGTAGACAGAACTACAAATCCCTTTCCTTCAGTGCGAGGATAACTCACGGTAGAGTGATTCAATTTAGTTACCTAGTGTGTATGTTTCTACAGTACGGAATGAAGGTAGTTTCGGAGGCCAGTAAAAACACTGAAAACCACTGCTCCTTTGGGGTTGGCTAATAAAACACTACATTATGTAAAAAGGGTCAGCACCACAGGTCATCCAGCTTACCCGCTGGACAACTAACAAAAATTCCAAATGGTTTCCAACCAGAGTTGAATAGGTTTTATGGCATTTGGTTTATGTATTTGTTATGAAGCAGAGCTATGAACACTGTGATTTGCTTTGCTTGCTTTTGGACACAATATTTAATGTATATGAAAACCTATTAATATTCTTTTCTAAGGGAAATAAAAGGGCAAAACCCTACATATTAGGTAGGGATGACAGAGTCAAAAGCCCTGTTCACATTGTATTAAATTATATATTCCTCTTACATTCACCTCAACCAGAATAAAACCAAATTTGAGAATGTATATATCCTATATATATAATAATCACTTTATTATATATATATATATAAATTGTCTAACTACTCCGTAAAAGTAATTTTAAATTAGAAAAGGTTACCCATTTATATCGGCTGATGGCATCCTAGTCTCTCTCCATGGAGATGCACTGGTGCCAGTGCATGATGGCCCAGCGAGAGTATGCCTCTTGGCAGAGAATACAGGGTCAACCAATTGGCATAGCTAAGTCACTGGCAGATTTGGGATTAAGAGTTCAGCCAAAGAGGAATACTGTCAGCCTGTGTTTTCCCTGGATATGATGCCCTTCATGCTTTGAGCTCCTGGGGGAAGGGAGGCGGGGGAAGCAGAAACACAATGAAGTGTTCCTTCCAGAACCCTTAGAAAAACTGCCAAGAGACCAAGAGGTTTCCAGATGGCTGGGAAAACTAAAGATTACAACAAAGCAAATCACAACTATGCATGGAATAATGTGCTTTGTTTGGGTGCACTTCTTTACCAACTTAATCAGGAGCATCGGACACCGTGTGAATTTCCATCCGAGAATCTAGGGCCATCTCGGAGGCGGATGGGTCATTTTCTAGTTTCTGGTCCCCGTACACATCTGTTCTCTCAGGGGACTCGATGCGACTCCTGACTTCAGCTACGCCCGGGTGGTTTTTCCGCAGGTGCTGGTTGAGGGTACCTTGGAATGGAAAGCACTTCCCGCAGATCTCACAGCGGAAGGGTTTATCATCAGTGTGGCCCCGGATGTGGTACTCCAGTTGGTCCTTTCGCGTGTACTTCTTCCCGCAGAACTTGCACACAAAGGGGGTGATTCCCATGTGGAGTCGCATATGCCTGTCAAGGCTTCCTTTCTGGTTGAAGGACTTTCCACAGTAAATGCAGATCAGCCGCTCATTGTAGGGGTACCAGTGACCTCTTACACTCCTCTCCCGGGGACTGCTCTCATACCCAGGGTTGTTCATCACAGCTTCGCTGTCTGACCCCTGCACCAAGCCCTGCAGATCACTGTGCAGGTGGACAGACAAAGCCCGCTTCTGGCGGGCACGCCCTCCTCGGAAACAGCTCAGCATGGACCTGGATGGGCTGGAATTACTCAAACTTCCAAAAGCCTCTGATACGCTGGTTGGCTGAGAGGCTGCCTGGGAGAAGGAATATGCGTGTTGGAGCACAGAGCTATAGGAACCCACATTCACTGCCACAACCTGTTCCCCATCCACCATCTCCGTGTGGTAGCCATCGTCTCCCAGAGAGGAGCTGTCGGAACAGCTGGGCCGGTCTGACTTCTCCATCTTCACCTTCACCTCGGCGATCTGGCTCTCCCTCACCAGCAGGTCCCCTTGGTCATGGTCCCCCTCGATCTGGATCTCGTACTCAGAAACGCTCCCGCTGCTCCCTCGGTCTGAGTGCCCTTCCTCCTGCAGGCGGCTGCGCAAAGCTTTGCTGGGTGTCGTCTCCATCCGAAGGTCACTGCTTGTGGTGGGCTGCCGTCCCTGAGAGCAATACGGCGGCGAGATCTCGACTGGGTTGGCAAAGAAGCCGCCGTCTTTAACTCCATTCTGACTCTCGGGAGTCTCTTCAGCACCAACGGTAACGGAGTCAACCTCGCCAACGCTGATCTTTGAATGGATGCTCTCTAGGATCTGCGTGCACTTGTCGATGACACACTGCATCTGGAGAAAGCTAGCTGCCGTCAGAAAACTGACAACATCCTTCAGCTGCAGGGACATTCTTCCAGTGTAACAAAATGAAAGCAACTGTTCAAACACATTGGGGTTTTTAATCACTGATATCGACAAGCCACTCATGGTACTTAGTGCTGAATGGTCCCGGAAATACGGGGAGCTGGCAGCGAGGACTGCTTTGTGGGCTCGGAATGGCTGACCCTGGATGTGGACGATGATGTCGCATAGTTTCCCTTGGAGGCGGAGTTCGTTTAGCTGGCTCAGAACCGTGCTGCTGTACTCGGGCACGTCAAACTGAATAAAACTGCTGCTGTCCATTGCTACTGACATGAAGTGTAATCTGTGGAAAGAGAGAGTTTCATAATTTACCAATGACTCCTCACCAAGTACAAGCAGCAGAAGCACCAACTGGCAAAATAGCACCACCACCACTGTAGATACTGTACCTCCTAGGCTCTGCCTGAGCATTCTTCCTCTTATTTATTTTCAGTCTTTCATGTCTTGGTTAATTCACCTAAGGTCAAATAACCAAATGATTGATTAGCCTAGTATCCTACATGCCAAACTTTCATCTTGATAAAAATTAAAATGTTACACATAGCAGGGCCAATTCAGCTCTGATTGAGCATTTGGTATCATTTTAGGAAAAGTATTTCCCTGTTTCACCTAGTTTTAAAGATTCTGTAAAAATTAAGTCAATTCATCTAAATAATGTTGTATATTTTCACTTGATGTTTTTCAATATAAAGCATATTGGACAGTCTGAATGAAGCTGAACCTGTTTTAGTTTAGCATCTGAGATGCTGTCTTGATGTGCATTTTTCCCCAAGCTCTGCACACCTTTATAACTTTTTGAGCTGGTAACTCATAGAGCAGAGCTCAGTCCCTTTCAGTGACGAGCTTTTAGGATTAGTGGACATTTGATCCTGTCTAACACATCCATGGAGACATTTGGTGCTCACAAACATTTTTGATAGCAACAAAAGGATATTTTTGCATGCACCAATGTCTCCATGGACATTTTGGACAGAAACAAATGTCCACAGGTTTCTTAGACAGTAGTGACAAAAAGAGTGCCAGACCTTACAAATGTATGGGCCTCCACTGGTGCTCACAGCACTGGCACACGAGAATGGGCCTTGTGGACTATTTCCAATTGTAAAAAAGAATTATTTAAATCGATGCTGTTTGAATAATACAAATCTATATATATAAAAGCCTAAGCGACTAGCCAACTGGCCAGTAGCTATGACACACACTGACAACCAGGGGGCAGGTGCTCAACCCAGAAGCAGAAACCACAGGCATGGAAACATGGAACAGACTGATAAATCTCAGAGGGAAGGGGAGAAGGGGGAGGGTGGGAAGAAATTATCCAAAGATCTTATATGCATTCTAGAAGCCTGGTGCATGGATTCGTGCACTGATGGGGTCTCTAGGCCTGGCCTCTGGGGGTCTGGCCGAAACTGGCTCTCCGACATCCCCCAAGGGGTCCTGGATTGCAAGAGGGGGCAGGCCAGGCTGAGGGACCCCACCAGTGCACAAACGCTGGTTATCTAGTAAATAATAATAAACTTAGATCCTTGCTTCATGACATATCCAAAAATAACTTCTACAGAAAGCATTTTAAAGCACACAAAGGCAGATACCAGAAGAAGAGAGATTTAAATAAAAAAGTAAAAATGTATGCCTTGGCCAGTGTGCTTAATGGTTAGAGTACTGGCTGGCTTACTGAAAGGTTGTGGGTTCAATGCCTGGTCAAGGGCACATATGTAGGTTGCAGATCGATCCCCAACCCTGGTCAGGGTACATACACATGCACCCTTCCCCTTTTCTCTTTCTACCTCCCTTCCCTCTCTTCCACGCTTTCTCTAAAAAAATCAATAACAAAAAGATCCTTGGTTGAGGATTAACAAATAAAAAAAGTAAAAACTTATAAAAATACCTTTTATAAAAAAAAAGGACAAATTATTAAAAATGAAAGTATAAAACTCTTACAAACAATAAAAACTAAATATAACAATTAAAAAATAGGCAAAGAATATGAACAGATACTTTAAAAAAAAATAGCTTTTATCACTAGCTGGTTTGGCTCAGTGGAGAATGTCAGCCTGCAAAATGAAGGGTCCCAAGTTCGAGACCACTCAAGGGCACATGCCCAGGTTGTGGGCTCGATCCCCAGTAGGGGGCATGCAGAAGGCAGCTGATCATTGATGTTTCTCTCTCTCTCCCTCTCCCTTCCTCTCTAAAATCAAAAAATATATATTTTTTAAAGAAAGCTTTTAAATATAGAGATGAAATGCTTAACAACTTCATCAATATTCAAAGAAATAAAAATTAACATGGGAGACAATTCTGCTTTCTCAAATTGGCAAGACTTAAACACATGACCCAGTTGGCAGTGTTAGAGAGAGTGTGCTTACTAGTACTTCTGGGAGGTAAGTATAAACAAAAGTCTTAAAACTGGCATTTCATTCTTTTTAAAAAATGTTTTTATTTTTCAATTATAGTTGACATACTGTATTATATTCATTTCAGGTGTACAACGTAGTGAATAGGCATTTATATAAAAATGGGTATTTCTCTTGACTCAGTACTTTGTACCATAAAAAAAAAAAAAGCCATGGATATAGGCACAAGAATTTATCCATAAGTACATTCAATTACAATAGCAAATCAATGGAAACAACCTAAATGTCCAAAAATGGAAAATCATTGAAATATAGTACATCTGTATGCTGAATACTATCATTAAAATTATTTTAAAGAAAATACAACATTAGCTCCATAAAATGTAAGCCTCGGAGGACTGGGGGTTTTATCTGTTTTATTAACTATCTGCCAGATTACTGCCTGGCACATAGTACAGTAAATGTTTGCTGAAAAAGTATTTAATAAAACAGCAAATAATCTGGTAACAGATCAACTGCAACTCAGCATGAGGAGTCTTTATGGGTAATGGAAATGGTTGAAAATCATTATTGATAGTTGTTACATATTATAAATTAAAAATCAATGAATTATTCAAGTAAAATGGGCAAATTTTGATGATCCTTCTTTCCATTTGTAAAACTTTGAGCAAGGCACTTTATAACCCGAGTCTGTCTTATTATCTTTAAAATAGGAATACTAGTCCTTGCCATGGGTTACGAGGAACATATGTAGGAAGTAGGAAGCACTGAGCACAATGGCTGTTGGCACATGGTCCGGTTAGCTATTATAGACTCTTTAGGGAGACAGGATGGTGTAACAAAGAGGACTGCTTTGAAGTGAGACTTGGAGATAAATCCTGGCTCTGCCACTTTCTAATAAAAATAATAACAATGAACATTTAAATCATTTAACAAGTCAATTAACTGACTTCCTTATCTACAAAAGGTCTTGAAAGAACTACTTCCCAACACAACTTCTTAATAATTAAAGGAGGGAAATTAATGCAATAAAAGTGCTTAATAGTTCACATACAATGAGTACTTAACTTGTGCTAAACACCTTCTGTCTTTATTAACTCATTTGGTCCTCCCTGAACTCTGTGAGGAAATACAATTGTTCCTATTTTATGGATGAAGAAACAGGACAGAAGGCCTTTACCCCCCTGCTAATGGAAGAACTTAGTCTGGCTCCAGAGGTCGTGCTCTTATCTACCCCAGACTGCCTTCTAGAAACACAGATACACTGCACCTACCAAGTGTCCAAATGTTACCCATTTGTTACAGTATTTTCATGACACAAGGGTGAGTAAATAGTGACTTTGGGAATTAAAGGTCAAAACGAAGGTGGGTTTAGGCTTTTTAAAGGTACAGAGCCTTGGGGGCGAGGGGAGGACAGCAGAACAAGGAAAAAAAATACAGTATTTCTGTAAGTGTGTAAAACTGAAAATAGTTTTACAATGAGACTTCTTTCTCCTCTGTATGGCTTTTATCTCCTCTGAAGAAAAGCAGAGAACTGCACTTGAAAAAATAAATCACTGAAGAGAAAGACGAAAGACTATGATTAACACCTCAGAGAGGGATTCCACTTCACTGCAACACGAGAAAGGAAGTGCTTCATTCTCAGGTCCTTTACGTTAGCACTTCCTTGGCAGTGACAATGAGATTCAGGCTCCTGCCTGGAGTTGTTAACAAGCAACACTCCTGAGGGAATTTGCAGGTAATTTAAGTCACATTTCCAGGCTAAAGGGAAAAAAAGACAATTAAAAATCACAAGTTCTACACCCAATGACTTGATTTATCTCCAGTGGTCCTAAGGTAAAGGAAGTCATACCCTTTTACAGAGACATCAAATTCAAATATGATCTTCCAGTCCTCTGTATCAGCAATTTCCCAGCACCGATAATACACACACACACACACACACACACACACACACACACACAGGCACACACACGAGCACGCACGCCCAAAGCACAGAAATTCATGCGAGAGTGGGCCTTCCTTCCACCGGCTGCTGGCACCAGCTTCCCTCTGGCACCCAGGACCCAGGCTTCCCTCCTGCGGCTGCCGGCAGGAACCCAGGACCTGGGACCCAGTTGGCTTCCCTCCAGCCCCGGCTTTGTCTGGTCTAATTAGCATATTAACCTTTTATTATATATAGGTGTACTGGTTAATAATGCAGATTTTTTCAATAGATAAGTTACACATGTTGATATATATGCAATTTAATATGTATGCTATTTTTGTATTGACAACAAGCTTCAAAACTTCATATGTCAAATTCGCTGAAAGTGTTAACATCATAGATATTTTTACGCTTAAAAATGTCGAATTTTGTGCCAAAAAAAAAGAGCATTTGCAGGAAGTTTTAATTCATTACTTTATTTTGAAGAAAAGTGTTGCTGAAAGTTATTGTATACTTCAGGAAGCTTATGGTGAACATGCTCCATTTCAAGATACTGTGAACGCTGGTTAAACTCTTTAAAAGTGATGATTTTCATGTGAAAGACAAAGAACGTGCCGGTCAATTTGAACCACACTTTGATGATGAAACAATCAGAATGGGCCAGAAGACACAGCAAAGTAATTTTGCTTCATGATAACACACCATCACACACTTCAAAACCAGTCAAAGACACGTTAAAAGATCTTGCCTGGGAAGTATTAACCTTTAGTTATATGTGCTGCAAGTACGTATTAGAATTGTAATCACTAAATGGTATACTGACTGGGAATTGTTATTTTTCTACATTTATAGGAAATATTCCTTCCATTTCAATCTTCTGCATGCACAAAACCAAAAGAATTCAAAGATGAATGAGTCCCTGGCTTGCAGTTTGATACAAGCTTCATGCAGATGCCTCCCAACTCAGACATTCGGGAATGGAATCACTTTTGATAATACAGAGAAGTGATTTATATTAGTTTTTCATTTAGACTACGTTTGCAGCTGCTTCAGAAAGCATTAATAAACTTGATTATTCCACTCACTAAATACATCAGTAATTTTTAATTCAGTAGATTAATCACTAGTCTTTCTGGCACGTTAAGAAAAAAAATCCTCAAACTAAACATTCATATGGCTGTATTTTATTTTATTTTTTTAAAAAAGCACACATAAGCTATTTTTCTTCAATACCATTAATCCTTATTTTAACAATACTTAGTTTTGTTTGTAAAAACTATACTTTGGATAAGAATGTGAAATACTTTTAAAAAGCATACATGGAGAGGACTGAATTGAAACGGTCAGCTGGGAAGTTCAAAAACTGCCAGCTCCTCCACCTCTTTTGCTCATGTGACCAATGGACATAAGCCTCCCGCTCTTCCAATTTCTTTAATTTGAGATGCTGTCACAACCCTGGAAGCAGCTTTCAACTCGCACACAGCCTGTGCGTGGTCTCTGACTCTGCCACACAGGTCTCAGCAGCGGGGCCTGGGAAGGTCCGCCTCTGCTGAGGGCAGTCTGGAGCTCCGTCCGCTTACCCGCATCCAGCCATCGCCACACTGGCCTCGACAACTGTAAAGGGGATCGATCCCTGCCACCTCCCACCACTCCTTCGCTTTCTCCTCCTATCACCACCACCAATAACCAACATTTACTGAACACTTGGCTTTCTCCAGAAGGCAGGTATTACTGCCCTCTTTAGAGATGAGGAAACAGAGGCTCCAAGAGGCTAACTCGCAGGCCTGTTCCACAGTCTGCCCATCTAGACCCCCTGCGCAGTAAGTCTTGTTTAATTTGCCCAACGGGAATGGGAGGACCAGCGGGAGGAGGCAGGAAGAGCGGAGGAAAAGGCAGGAGGAAAAGAAAGCTTGCTAGGTCACATTCCTGCCCGAGGGTGGAGGCCAGGAAGAGGGGTAGGACAAGTGGCAAAAGTCCTACTGCCACCCAGGGCTCCTACTCCTTCTGTGAATATATTTTTGTAAGATCCATCAAAATTATAATGCACTTCCCCTGTGACCAAGCAACTCCAGCTCTAGAAATTTACTCCCCCCTTTCTAGTAGAGGTAAGGGCTGTGATCAGACAGCTGATGCATATTATATCTTCCATATTCACAGCTTTTATTCCCCTTTCCTCCTCAGAGCCCCTAACTCTGGGTAACTTTACCTGCTTTAAAGAAACAGCTGTTTCTATATGCCAGAGCCTCAACTAATTAGAAACCACTGATCTAGGGCTCAATAACTGGTCGTTTTACTGTTTGAAGGTGAAAGTCATAGACAGCAGATGCTGCCAAGCCACAGGTTCAGCCCAAGTTCAACAGAATTCAAAGCAGCACTGAGACTGGTGTTCAAAGAGCAAGAGCAGACGTGAGGGGCTCTGCAGGGCTGGCCAGGCACCGAGCACAGCAGCAAGGCCAGTGCAGGCCAGGGGCAGACAGAACCACAAGGAATGCAGAGCGAGCTGGTTCGGGGAAGATAATGGACACACATGGGGCAGCAAAAGCAGACTGGGCACCAGAGGAGGGAGGCCATTTACACAGTGGGGACTCCGTACGGCCAAAGCCACGGGAGTGGTACTGTCCTAGAAAGTGCCATGCCAGCCAGCCTGGGTCAGCCCTCCCACACTCCTGAAGTAAAAAGTGAAAAAGAGGGGACCTAGAAATAACCACGCACACAGGCTCTGAAAATAAAACTAGGATCTGCTGCAAGACCATATGACAACAAGGCTTAGTAAAGCAAAGCTACTTGAAATCTTTACAAGATCTCACCCAAAAGCTGCAGAACACAGCACCACACCCGCTAATGCCATTTTATTTTTATGACAGTATCTTAAAAAGACTTGATTATCACCAAAAAATAGCTAAAAGCAAGCATTTTTTTTTTATAATAATGATGTAAAGGCCTTTCCAAACATGGCATAAACCCCCAGAAGCCACAAAGGCAAAGATAAATACATTTGACAACATGGAAGTTGATGACCAAAAAAAATATCCTTAAAGAATAAATGACACAGTGAGGAAAAATACATGCACAGTTGGCAAAGGGCTACTTTGCAAATTCCTTAATTTATATTATAAATCAAACTAATGAGGGTGACACAAAAAATCCTATGGAAGGGGCAAAGGATAACAACAGTTAAAAAAAACACACATATGACCAAAGCACATATGAAAAGATGTTTAGCTTTATTCATAACTAAATGCATGTGAATTACAAAAAGAAAAAATGAGAAGCCATTTGTAATGCATCAGATTTGGGCACATTTAAAAAAAATGTATTTTATTGATTTTTTACAGAGAGGAAGGGAGAGAGCTAGAAATGTCGATGAGAGAGAAACATCGACCAGCTGCCTCTTGCACACCCCCTACCGGGGATGTGCCCGCAACCAATGTACATGCCCTTGACCGGAATCGAACCTGGGACCTTTCAGTCCGCAGACCGACACTCTACCGCTGAGCCAAACCGGTTTCGGCTTGGGCACATTTTTAAAGGGCTGACAAGTGTAATCCTGAGGGATAATCTGGTCAGAGGGATCAAAATGTAAAAGTCATTTGGTTCACAATTAACTGCTGGGAATTGAGCCTGAAATATATAGTACTTACAAAAGTTTGTTAGGATATTGTACTGAGCACTTGTATTTGTTATAATAAATAATAATAACAATAATAATAATGATTATGATAATGATAATAATAGAGGGGATCAACCTCAAGAGACTGATTTAAAAAACCAATCCACAATGACACATCCACAGCCATTCAAAATAATTAGTAGATCTGTGTGCTTTGACAAAAGCTCTAATATTTAGCCAAAACAAGCAAGGTATAGAACAAAATGTATGTGTATATGTGATCCCCTTCATGGACTTTTCTTAAAAGAAAAAATATACATTACTGTAGCCATTCTGGAAGTAAGTGCATGAAACTATTAATGTTGGTGACTTTGGGGGATGAGAATTAAGGACTGGGGAGAGGGAAGGGAACACTTCATTTTATACTTTTCAAAAATCATATAGCTATATTCTTTCTAAGTTTTTTTCTTAAAAAAAAAACACATATATATATTCATGTTATATATACATGTTACCTAAGAAAATATATAATTTTTAAACCAAAGAATCTAGAGAAAGATAGGCTGCAAATTAATAATTACTTTATCAAGCAATTAGAGACAGAAACAAATAACTATGAGGAACAATAATTAACACTGATTATGATCAAAATTTTTTTTAAAAATCAAAATGAACAAATATAAAAGTTAATGGAAGTAATATTTGAACAAGAGTTTGTATTTAAATGGAATCCAAAGAACGTTCCAGACAGAAGAAGTGGCAGGAGCGGAGGACAGCGGAGTGAAAATGTCTAGGTACTGGCCAGGGCTCAGGTATGGGGTGACCCGGCAAAGAGGAGCACCACAGCTGGAATGTGGGGGCCTGGAGTGCTGGGTTCGAAAACTCAAACCAAATCTGGCCGTAGCCGATTTGAACACGGTTTAGAGAAGGACCCAACAAGTTCTGGAGACCGAGGGATGCTATCTGTTCTAGGAGGCAAATTAGGTCAGCCTCAGGCAAGCTGCGTTAGGGTACCCATCGGGCATCTGAGAAGAGCTGACCAATAGGCAGTGGGAAATATGGGGCTGGAACTGCAGAGAAACTAGACCTGGAGATACCAATCCAGGAGTAACCAAAAACTGTGCAAACTGGAGCAAGGACAGGAAAAAGACGGGTGAGAACAGAGAAGCTGTTTGCTCCTATAATAGAAGTATGATAGCATATCTCATGAAGGAGGTAACATTCACAACTAGCCCTCTCCTTGGCACATCTTTCTGCATCACACGTTTTAAGCTGTAATGAAACCAGATAATGAAAACCAAACCAGTGACATCTTCTCACCCTGCTGACCCACTCTGAAGAGAACCTACAAATGAGGAAGGACATGTAACCGTCATCTGGGCAAACACCCACATGGGCCTTGAAATCCCCTCTGCAGCATCCTTGGGTACAGCTCAGTGACTATTTCCCCATAGTGACAACCAGAGCAGAAGTGACAAGCAATTAGCCACGGGCTGATTTTCTGAGCCTCCGGGGCTGCTGAGCTCTTTGAGGGCAGGGACTGTGTGCCCAAAGCCCAGCAGTGTGTCCAGCAGAGCGAGGCTCTCAGCGTATGTCAGGTGATGCGACCTAAACCAAGTTGGTGGCTCAAAATCCACAACCATCACCAGAGCTTCACCCTCAGCTTTCACCTTTCTCTGCTGAAGACCCAAGAGATGCAGGATCGTCTCTGCCAGCGGGCAAAATCTAGCAAAATGGCTCCTTCCCTCTAGACCAGTGGTCGCCACCTGGTGGTCCGCAGAGGTCCAAAAGGTTGGCGGCCACTGCTCTAGCCCATCATCATTCTAACGTGCTCCACTTCATTTAAAAACACCCAGAGATACTTCCAAGGAAGAAAAGCAAGATTGCAAATGTTTAAGGAACCCGGAAGTACCCATAATTCTCAATCAACAGGCTCATGATTCCAAATCCTGCTGCATGCGGATACTAGAGACACAGCTCAAACAAGGCCTTCCCTATCGGGCATTGAAGACCAAAGGTAACTAACTTGCCTTCTCATACAAAAAGTCCTTAACAAGACCACAGAAGGAGGCACTAAGGACGGCAGGCATGAGAGCAACCCTAAAAACTAGATACAAACAATTTTTCTAGGTATTTCTGCCCGAGTCTAGATCAAACCTAAAACTGAGCTGTCATGAACTACAATCTAATCCTTTGGAAAGCAGCAGCCAAATAACAAGAAACATTCTGGTGCTGCTGAAACCCCGGGCAAGGGAAAAAATAAATAAAGCGGCATTCTGCAATGGATATTCATGAAGCACTTGTCCTAATTTAAAAGAAAACAAGTCTAGAGTTCTTACTGCATTAATTCATGTGAGGCTGAAGGAACATTTTTATCCAAACTGTTAGATTTCCCACCAAGGCGTTAACATTCTGCAAGGCTGCTCAGATCCTCTAATTCTGAGAGCGGGTTTAGTTTCACAGTGGGGTTTGTCTTGCAAAACATCAGAAGCTTCTTCTGAGCTTTCCTAGCAGGGCAGGATGGCCCCTTTAACCTTCCTGGCAACGGGGAAAACCACGGTGACTGAGCTCCTACTGTGTGCTGGGTACTAAGGAAGCCCTTCACCTGCTCACTGATCTTCACAACACGTGAGGTAGACATTGCAACTACCCTTATTCTACAGATAAGGAAACAAACTCCGAGAGACTAAGAGCCTCACTAAGGCTGGCTGAGTCAGGATTTGAACCTAGATCTATCAGTCTCAAGAGTCAAGATTCTTAAATCCTGTAAGAGTAAGATTTAAGCCCAGGCACACTGGAGAGATGCAGGGTTTTTATTGGTGTGGGACTCTTACTGACGGACTCTGAGTGGAAAGCATTCTCACTTAAGGATGTACCATTACACGGACACAGTGATAATTAAGGGTTACCATGCGCCGTGCCTTTGAGAAGTTTGTATCCATTTCTCTGCACAATGTCCATTCTTTTTACTTCCGTCTATGAAGTGAGCAAATAGATGTTTCAAATCCCAATCATAAATTAGAAAGACTTGTTTCAGGTAAAAGAATGAATAAACTTTCTTAAGGCAAAGAACTAAAAAATGTCAAGGAGCAGCATCCTATATACCCGCTTACTGCTGGCATTTCAGGGGGCACTGGACCCGGAAAACACATCAAGTCCCGTCTCTTATGACAAAGGATTAGAAAAACTCACCTTGAATTGTTTTCTTCCATGAGGTTTTCCATGCCATCAAAACCAACCAGAAAACAACCATCAGAGGTTAAACTGCATTCAGGTGATGACCTTCACTAAGCTAAACTCAACAGTTCGCCAGCCATAAAACATTAAATGCACACAAGAAGTCTGACAAACACTAAGCAGAATTTAACCAAAAGTAACATAGAAATTCATGGGAATAAGACATAGCGATGGCACTCTAGATTCATGACTGGCGTTTTTAACAAGTGCTTGAGCTAGAAGGTGGAAGCAGAACCCAGGACATTCAGAAACCCACAACCCAGTGCATACACTGAGGTTCGACAGCCTATTATTTCCCACTGTGGTGCATTCACACCTAATTAATATTAATAAGAGTGATTAAAAATGTAATAAGTAGTTAGTAGGTGCCGCAAGTTTTGCCAGCTCTTCGTAAACTTTTCACTTTAAAACTCATGGCAACTCTGTGAAGTGGATTTTCTCCCCGCCCTGCAGGTGAGTAGCGAGGTGCAAGGCATTCTGTAAACTGTCCAGGTCACAGAGCTCTAAGTGGCCTTGCTGGAATGCCAACCCAGGCCTGTCTGATTCCAAAGCTGATTGATGGTCTTTCTTTCCCCACCGCCTCCGAACAAAGAATTACATGATATTTTTTTCTTTTCCCGCAATTAAGAATAAACATTTTAATGTTTCGAAGCTTTGTTTTATGTTACCGGCACCCTAAGAATATGAAAACTGAAAACATCCACCTAGAACGGCAGCAGTAGACATGCAACACATGATAGAAAAAGCTGATAACAGAATGTCCTTTAAAAAATTGTTTATCAACAAAAATCAAGTATTTGGGTGCCTATGATAAAAGTCCAGCTTCAGTATTAGATACAAGGGCTCAGGGAGATAGATGCTGTAGGGCCCAATGCCCCCAAACCTCCTGTCCACTCAGGCCAAGAACAAGGTCACTGAGCAAGATTGCGTTGCACAAAGGCATGGGGGAGGGCCGTGGGGAACCCTCGGAGGAAGTATATCTGCAGCAGGGGCTCGGAGGAAGTGAAATGGAGAATTTACACAGAGGAGCAGAAAGAGGAGGCCAGCGCTTCGGAAGGGGAAACAGCAGGAGCAAAGCCTTCAAGAAGCGATTTTTCAAGCGTTTTCATCTCATGGTTCTCATACACTGATTGCTAAAATTCTGTGGCACGCAAAAATATAAACTTTTCCCCAATCTGACCCCCCAACCCGGAAAAAAAAGGAAATTTTGATTCATTCACTCACACCGGACAGCTATTGTGTTCATGCTTTTTTAAATTGACAACTGAAAGGAAGAGAGGTCAGTGCCCCTGACTAAATAGTCAGATAGGAGATCCTTGGGCACATGGCACCCTGGCTGAAAATCACTGCCCCAGAGACAGTCAGAGACTCGCTCCCAAAGGATAGGCTGGTGGAGAGAGAATCAGGGAATAGTTTCAGGTAGGTGAGGAGAGGCCAACCAAGGAGAGCCCTGAGAAGACAGGGTGGGCAGTGGCTGGACACAATGTGGTGTAAGCGCCATGGCCTGATCACCCGGCCCCTGAGGTCTCTCGTCCTCTCCCACACGCTATTGTATCATGAACCACCCCAGTCTCCTGCCCTCCCCACCGCCTACAGAATAGTTTCAACCCTGGTCTACAGTTCAAGTTCTTGCTCAAACTAGCCCACTCAATCCTTCCTCTTGGTCTCTTCCCACACGAACCCTTCTCTGCCAGGAGGCTGGTCTATTCACTAACTCCGTAAGATCACTAGATCTGATTCCTCTTTTCCTATCTCAATCTCTCCCTTGAACAAACCCCACTACCTCTTTCAAGCCTTCCCTGACCACTTGGCCTCTCATGACTGCCATCTCTCCTTCCTCTGAATTCTACAGCACACAGCCTGTGGAATAAATGACCCCTTTGCAGGTAAAGTCTCAGCACCCGGGGTAAAACCACTCGGGGGCGAGGGGTGTCTCCCACTACACTTTCCCCACCACAGGGAATGGCTTCTTGACATTTAGTAAGCTAGCAAACACTCAACTCTTTTCTTTTTTTTTTTACTTCCTATATTAAGTTTGGCATTAGCATAAAGGAAGGATGGGGGAGGCGGGTACTTCTCAAGTCAGAGACCAGCTAAGAAGCTGTTGCAATAATCCAGATGTGAAGCAAAGAGGGCCTGAACCGGGAACAAAGGGAAAATGGGCAAATATGAACAACAACAAAAATTGTGCATGCAAAAACTCCGAGGGGTGTGACTGACCACTCCTAGGAACAAAAACAAGGGGTGGACAATGAGTAAGGGAAGGTTTAGAAACGCTCCTTGGAATCATGTGAAAGCCTGTCTGAAACCTACTGTATTGAGTGGCCCAGAAAAGTCCCCATTTGAAAAATTCTTCAGTGAAACTGCCTAATATCCTGAATCAGAGAGACAGCCCTTCCGATGTCAGGAGTGCCCAGAATGGCAGAGTTGGAAAGGTCTTCAGAGAGCTCATCTAAAGCCCTCACTGCCCAGAGGGGGAAACTGAGGCCGGGCATGGAAAAGGCTCGCGGAAAGCCTCCTGACTCCCAAACCAGTGGCCCTGAAGCACAGCCGCCGAGCCTGTTGGGACACTGTGTGCAGCCCCAGCCCAGCCCTCGGTCATGGCTGGAGGGCGGAGGGCGAGAGTGGCCGTGGAGACGTCTCGGGCCAAGCACGACGTGCCGCCCGGAGAGAGGCGGAGGCTCGGGGCGAGGGCAGCGCCAACCCCGCGGCCCGGCCGGCCCCCCGGGGCTTTCCCCTGCCCGCCGGCCTCCCCGTACAAAGGGGCAGCGCCCTCGAGGGCCACGGGCCCGGAAGCGGGGGTCCCCGGGCGCCCGGGCGCCGGCTGGAGAGCCCGGGGCAGCTGGCCGCGCGCGACCCCTTACGCCCCTGGGCTCCGGGCGCGCACCGGGGCCCCTCCGGGAGGAAGGGGGAGAGCCTGGCCCAGCAGGTGCCCGGGCCTCCCGACCCCGCCGGCCTCGGCCCCAGCCCCGCCGTCCTCCCGCCCACCCGCCCGGCTGACCAGGCGCCGAGGCTCCCGCCCCGCCGCGCCCACGGGAGCCGGCCGGCGGCCGGGCGCCGTTCCCGGTCCCGCCCGCCCTGACGGGCCTCGCCCGCCGTCCCCGCCGGCGCCTCACCTGCCGCGAGCGCCGCGCTCACATCGCCCGCCGCCCGCGGCGCTCCCTCCGCCGCCGCCGCCGCCGCCGGCGCCAGGCCCGTCCCCGCCGCTCCGGCAGCCGCCCAGCCCGCGCCCCCCGCCCCCGGAAGCGCTTCCCGGGCCCGCCCCCTCGGCGCGGGCGCTTCCGGGCAGGCGCGGGCCGAGCAGGAGGGGCGGCGATGGGGCCCCCTGGCAGGGGCTCCAGGTCCCGGATTGCGCCCCGCGCCCGCCCCGGAGCCTCGCCGCTCCCGGAGGCCTGGAGCGCGGCGGACTCGGGCCCAGCGCCGCGAGGGAGCGGCGGCGCCCCGCGCTCTCCCCTCCGCCCGCCGCTCCTCGGCGCCCCCTGCCGGCGGGAGGCGGGCTCCGCGGCGGAACGCGCTCGGGGCTCCCGGGGGCAGTGGGTGGAGGTCAGGGTCCCCGGCTCAGCCCTTCTCTCCGGAGATCTTGACTTCGCAGCCTTTGGGGCGCCTGCGGGTGACCGGAGCTGCGCCCGGCGGGGCAGCTGAAGGCAGTGGGGTGCAGTGGTTCGCAGCGCGGGGCCTGGGGACCTGCCATATCCGGTTACTTAATGTGGGACCTTGGGCAGATTTCCTCTCTTTCAACATGGAGATAAAAATTACGAAGTTGAGGTTATAAAGCCCCTGTCACAGAGCAGGTCGCAAAAAATGTGCATTGCCAGATTCTTGAAGACACTCCAACCTGGACACTGGAGTGGGCGTGGGAGCCTTGCCCAACGTTGTACTCTCCGCCGCCGGTGACTTAAAGCATCCTTTTAAGGGCCTCTTTGCATTTTGGTAGACTCCTCAGTAGTTGGCAGGGAGCAATTGTCCTTTTTCTGACTTTGTAATAAAAGTTAACTAGGAGCATGAGCAGACTGTTGAACCTCAGAGGGAAGGCAGGAGGGGGGTGGTGGGAAGAGATCAGCCAATGGACTTGTATGCATATATGCATAACCCGTGGACACAGATCCTGGGTGGTGAGGGCTTGGAGGGGCAGGAGGGAAGAGGGCTGGAAGAGGTTTATGGGGGAGGGGGGAAGAAGGACCTATGTAATACGTTCAACAATAAAGATTTTTTTAAAAAAGTAAACTAGGAGTCAAAGACACTAGCTCCTCTTCACGATATAAAGCCGACTTCCTGATGCTACTTCATCCTTTACAAGCAGGAACTCTCTCCAGGATCCATCCAGTAGCCATCTTCTAACACGTTACCCTTTGTCTTTGTTTGTTTGTTTTTTAATATATTTTATTGATTTTTTTACAGAGAGGAAGAAAGAGGGACAGAGAGTTAGAAACATCCATGAAAGAGAATCATCGATCAGCTGCCTCTTGCACACCCCCTACTGGGGATGTGCCCGCAACCAAGGTACATGCCCTTGACCAGAATCGAACCCAGGACCTTTTAGTCCACAGGCCAACACTCTATCCACAGAGCCAAACCGGTTTCGGCACGTTACCTTTGTTAAGCACGGTGCACTTTTATACACAATCCCAGGAGGTAGTCATCCATTATTACCCCCATTTTATCCAAAAGGAAACTGGGGTTCAGAGAAGATAAGGGACATGTCTGAAGTCACACAGCTACATGTCAGACTTCAGATGGGCTCCCTTGTCTGACTCCAGACAGGAACTTCTTGGGCAACAGAAGATTCTGTACACAGAATTTTCAGTAACCAGTTTCTAACTGCAGGCACCTGGGCAGAGCGTCTCACTCTACTATCCCTCTTCAGCTGTTTCCTTGAGATCTGTCCCCAAGAATGAGATCAGTGAACCCAGGGGTACAGAAATGCATCATCTTGTCAAGCCAGGTCTCCCCAGGACCACTGGGCTGGTTCACATGTTCATGAGTGAGGTCCTGTGTCCCTGGTGTCCCCCATGGTAGGCCTTATCGTTTTAGCTGATTTTTGGTAAATTTGTTACTATGAGTTGGGGTCTTCCTGGCGGTAATACAGTACTTGCGTGTCATTAAGGACTACACAGACTAATATGTTCCAAAGTATTTAACCTTTGTGCCAAGTGTCTCAAAGTTAATGGCCATCTATCCATTGGACACTCGTTATTTCCCTTCTAGATTAACATTTACTCCCCCACTTAATTGGGTCATTAAACTCACATCTTTTCCAGTCTCCTGTCCTTGCTATTGTTGGGCTGATCATAATCTCTATCAATTTACTATAGTTAGAAAATTGGCACTTCTTCATATTGGAAACTTAAAGACCTAAAGTAACCACAAAGGTGATTGTGGTTTTAATTTAATTTCAAAAGTTTTGAAATTAAAACCTTAACTAAAAGTAGTTGTGGTGGGTAGTCATGTCCTAGACTGGTATATTCCCTGACAAGGTCAATTTTTACCTTAACTGAGCCTATTGCCTTTTTGCATCTAAGATAACATACCTATGAAATGTCAGAGTGACTTGTCACTTCCCTACACACACACACACACACACACACACACACACGATGAGCCTACAAATCCCTTCATTACTATTGTTATCTTGTTAGTTGTTAACTGTTAACTATCCTGTACCTACCTATGTAATATGTCTATCATTTTACTTTTTTTAAAAAAAAGTTTATAATTTATTAATCCTCTCATGAAAAATCTGCACAACCATCACAGATAAAATCACAGAAGAATCTTTACTTCTTCTTTTGTCAGTACCAACATTGACCTTTGCAGTCTCCCTGACTTTCTTTCTTCTGTTCTTGCGTTCCTTTCTCTGTTTTCTTGACGTCGTCTTCTTCTCAT